AATTACGAGCCTCAGGAAGCAGTGAGAAGTTACCAACAAAGACACTGATCCATTCGTCTTAAGTGGAGAGAGCGGTGGAGTGAAGCCTAATGTTATAAGTGGTCAGTTTATCAGTGAATATTTTCATATTCGCGTGACTTTTGCTTACCTGTACGACTCCCTAACTGCGGTTAACTTGGGTCATGAATATTATATAACTAGGATACCCCCACACCTGGTGGCAATGTTGCAGGGGAAACAAGGGCAGGGAGAGGTTAGGTGGAGTGACTTCTGGAGTCCCAGTGGTAGGCTCTGAGTGTTCTCTGAGTCTCTTGGGTGTTGCCTGGGCCTGTTTACCCTCCTGCAGGTTGCTACCCAGTCCCCCTGTGGTGAGGGCTGCTAGGTAGGGGAAGGGAGAGATTGGAAAGCATGTCTTTCACTCGCCCAGCTGTCGCCATTCCTAAAGCGGGTCTAGCTTCCTGTGCCTGACCCCATCCTTACACCTCGCAGCCTTGCGTGAATGCCTCCCTGTCTCGGTTCTCCCGGTCCGAGCCCAGGCTGGGCCAGGCTGGCTGTCACTCTGCCTCCTCCCTGGGTGAGGGCCTGGCTTCAGCTCCTCCAGACCCCACCTTTCGAAGCCCTGGAGCTCCACACCCAACCCTGAGCTCTGGGCATTCCTTTCCACGACTGACCTGCAATGACATGTGACCCAGAACCCCTGCATGTCCATCCTAAGTGAGAGTCTCAAGACACTGATGGGCTCTTCCAGGCTTCTCCCCATGCCCCAAGCACAGTCCCCAGAGGAAGGCCAGAGGCTACTGGCTGGAGACAAGCTGGCTAATGGCATCAGGAACGACAAGGTGGCCTGGAACTTGGCCTCACGCCTCTATCGTCTGGAGGGCTTCCGGAAGTCTGAAGTGGCGGCCTACCTGCAGAAGAAGTAAGAAGCTTTGGGCGTGAGCGAGGTTCGAGGCTGCAGGGAAGGGAGGAGTTGCCCATGGGCTCCCTCCACTGGCCACCCCTCCCCTTCCCCATGCCTGTCCCTGTCTCCCTCCAGCCCCATCACTGACCTCTCATCCTGTCATCCCTGTCCTGGTTCCTCCCCATCCTCTGCCTTCCCCCCATGCTCTCCCATCCCTGCTGCTTTCTGTCCATCATGCACGTATCACCTCTCGTCCACACCCTTGATCCTTGCTTAGGGCCCTTGGATCTGGCCACCGCAGCCACCCCAGACTCTGCGAGTCCCTCCCACTCAACATTGGGAGGGGTGCCAGGGGCACACCGGACCTTGGCTGCCTCTTGTCCTCTCAGGACCCAGGTCCAGCCCGGCCAGCCTTTCCCCTGCTCGTCCCCTGCCCCGTCATGTCCAGGATGTGTGCAGGCCCTCTGCATCTGTGGCCCCAGCCCCGACCCTGGTGCAGCCTTCATCCCCGTCTTCCTTCCACAGCAACGACTTCAGCAGGGCTGTGGCTGAGGAGTACTTGTCCTTCTTCCAGTTTGGAGGCCAGAGCCTGGACCGAGCCCTCCGGTAAGACCTTCAGTCCTCTCTGGGGAGGCCGTGGAGGAGGGATGGCCATGGGACAGTGGCAGCACAGTTGAGCTGGCGTCTGATGGGCTCCGAGCTGCTGGGTGTGTGGGCGTCCAGCCTGGGCCCTATCTGTGACTCGGGCCCTCCTTGGCAGGGGCTTCCTCCAGGCGCTGGTGCTCAGTGGGGAGACTCAGGAGCGGGAGCGAATCCTCTTCCAGTTCTCCAGACGCTTCCATCACTGCAATCCTGGGGCCTTCCCCTCAGTAGGTAGGGAGGGGCTGGCCCTGAGGGCAGGGCAGGGGGATTTGGGGTGAACGGGAGAAGGATGGCATGGAAGTGTCCCTGTGTCCACTTGGGAGGTCACTGGACAACAGCTGCTGGGAGGGTGTTGGGAGCTGCAGAGAAATGGGGAGGGGTGTCACCCCGCCTGGTGTGGGCAGAGAAAACAGAGGAGTCCTGGTTCCAATGAGCTCTCTCTGCTCTTGCCTCTCTCTGGGGCAGATTCCGTCCACACCTTGACCTGTGCAATCATGCTCCTTAACACAGACCTGCATGGACAGGTAAGAAGGCAGGGAGAGTGCCTGGGGACCCAAGGCAGGGACGAGGGTGGGGGGCTGTCATGTGAGGACGAGGAGGAGAGAAGACCAGAGGCCTGGGGTGGGGAGGGAAGGGCCCTGAGGGACGTGGACCTGGGGAACTGCAGAAGGTTCTAGAGCGGCTGGCTGGGGGGGTCATTCTATTGGGGTGGGGTGCTGGAGCTGTCTTTCTCTCCGTGGCCACAGAACATTGGGAAGAGCATGAGCTGCCAGGAATTCATAACCAACCTGAATGGCCTGCGGGACGGCGGGAACTTCCCCAAGGAGCTGCTGAAGGTAGCTTCCCACCGGGGTCAGGACCCTGGGGCTTGCCATTTGGGGGTCTTGGAGCTTGGGTTCCTTGGCCCAAGGGGAATGCTGAGCTTGGACCAGGCTCTGGCACAATATCCTTGAGAGCACAGCGCTTGTTTATTGAAGGGCTACTAAAAGTGTGGTCCCTGGCCGGCGGCGTCTGCAGCATATTGGAATTCGTTAGCTGTGCAGATTCACAGGCCTCTGCCCTGGACCTGCTCAGTCACACTCTTTGGGGCTGGGGCTCTAAGATGTTTTATTAGGTTTGGAGGTGATTCGTACCCCTTCGAAGTCTGAGAAGCACTGGTTTATTGGGTCTCTGAATGGACAAAGCGCAAAGTTTCACATGGCAAAAGTCTAGAGCTGATTTGGGAGCCTAGTGTTCCTGGGTTTGAATTCTAGTCTTGGGCAATTTACCTCTTGGTCAACTCAAGTGCCTCCTGAGGGTAATAACCACCTTACAATGTCATTATCAAGATGAAATAAAATTTGTCAAATGCTCAGCACAGTGCAGGGCACACAGCATCCGTTTCATAAGCAATTAGATCACGTGCTTTTTCATCTACTTAGTGAACATTTGTTGAACACCTGCTCATGCCAGACACCTTGCGAGGCACTGCGAAGGCTACAAAAGCAAGCAAGAGGCATCTACATCAGTACAATTTGTTATTGCAGCGGGCCCTCCGTATTCACAGGTTTTGCATCCACGGGTCCAGCCAACCATGGTGGAAAACATTTGGGGGAAAAAAACCCAATAAAAAATAATAGTATAATAAAAAAATACACATTTAAAAAATACAGTATAATTATTTACATAGTATTTACATTGAATTAGATATTATAAGTAATCTAGAGATGATTTACAGTATATGGGATGATGTGTATAGGTTATATGCAAACACTAGGATGTTTTATACAAGGACTTGACCATCTGTGGATTTTGGTATCTGAGGGGGGTCCTGGAACCAACCCCCTGAGGATGCCAAGGGATGACTGTATTTCAAAGTCCTAGTACAACACTCACGCACTCATTCACTTACCACACATTTATTTTGGGGGTCGGTCAGCCAGTTCCTTCTCCATCAGATCCCTCGACAGGATAGTAGGTGGATGATGTGTTTCCCCTTCAAGAGAACTAGTTCACACCCCACTAAGCTGGGGCAGGGCAGGGACTAGGCTGCCTTGATCGTCTTTGTGTCTCCAACACCAAGCACAGTGCCTGGCCCATGGGGAATGCTCCATAAGTAATTTGTTGCATGGATAGATGGATGAACGGATGAGTGGATGGAGGGATGGAAGGATGGATGGGGGATAAGTGGGTGGGTGGATGCTTGCCTGCTCAAGGAGGAAGGGCAGCTATGTTGGGTGGGGAAAACACAGGCTGTACACACGCCCCTATCCGGCCTCTGCCAGGCAGAGTGAGTTTAGGCCCCATAGCCCGGAGGCTTCCCTGCCCACCTGTGTGCTTCATTCCAGGCCCTCTACTGGTCTATCCGAAGTGAGAAGCTCGAGTGGGCCGTGTAAGTGAGAGCCCCCTTTCCCCTTACCTCCCAGCTCCTCACCTGTCTCTGGGCCTGTCCTCCCTCTGTCACACTCCCAAGAGTGTGACAAGTTGGGGCCCTGCAGAGGCAGGATGCCGGGCTGGTCTATGAGAGAGTAGAAGAGCCCAGGTCGTACTGGAGGAGCCAGGGCTGTGGAGGGTGGGGGAACAGTGTTTCCAGGAATTGATGGGTTGGCTTTGAAGGAGGACTCCTTTTGGAGAGTCCCGGGCCGTGGCTCCCCAGCAAGAGAGAGATGCTGAGTCCCTGGGAGGCAATGGGTACCTCCTGGTGGTCTTTGCCCAGCCAGTTCTCCCAGCCTGATTCTCTGATGTCCAGGGATGAAGTAGACGCAGCCAGACCTGAGAAGGCCCGGCCCTCTCCCGCAGCTGGCAAGATGAGCAACCCCTTCCTTCAGCTGGCTCAGGACCCCATGGTGCCCACCTACAAGCAAGGCATTCTGGCTCGGAAGATGCATCAGGATGCAGATGGCAAGAAGAGTGAGTGTCTCCTACCTGTGAACCGGGCCGTGAGCTCGGGGCGGCTCTGCTCAGGGGCGGTGCCGACGTGTGTGCCGGTGTGCACAGAGGCAGCCCGTGTCCGGGACAGGCAGCCCGTGTTCTCTCCTCAACACATCCTGCGTGGAGAACGGGGACTGTGTGAGGTGCTGGGGCGGGTACTGGGATGAGAGAGGCCAGTTATTCCTGCATCCCAGAGCCCCTGGGGTAAGGCAGAGATGAGACAAAACATCAAAGTCTGGGATAAAAGGAAGGGAGCAGAGTGCGTAGGGGGCTGCATCAAGTACGGGGATGTGAAGGAGGGAAAGGATTTGTTTTCTGGGGTGGGCTGTAGGGACAGGATAGGTAAGACTTCTGGGAGATGATAATATCTGAGCTGAACCTCAGAGGATAAGAGGGTCTGGATTTTTGAAGTCAGGAATAGGGCATCCCTCACAGAGAAAAGCAAGCAGAATTTGTCAGAACGTGGGGTGTGTTGAAAGGGAGTGGCCAGAGATGCAATGGGGACAGATGGCCGGAGTCCACGTGTGGGCCTGGATCCCAGGCAGCTGAAGGCTTTGAGTAGCAACATCACCAGAGCAGTGATTTCGGCAGACTAACCTAGAATCACAGGTTGAGTGAAGTGCGGTGACCAGGAAGGGCACTAGCATAGGCTGTGAGAAGCCACAGGGGCCTGTGCAGAGCCCCGGTGGGGTGACCACAGGGATTCGGGCCTTCTTTTTCCCAAGGAGCTTAGAACATGTCTGGCTACACAAGATTAGGGTGGGGAGGTAGGGAAGAAGGAGGGAAAGGTGGCAGTTGTGCTCAGAGCAGGTGCACAGGGAAGGACACTCCAAGCTGGGACCCAAGCCCCTGTGCCCCTCTGGATGGGAAAACAATGTTGAAATCATCTTTAAGGGACCAGAAAGATGTCTGAGCGCAACTGTGTTTATGGCTGGTGGGTTTGCAGGTGGGGGTGATGGGACGGTCTTTAAGGACATCTACCTTTGTATGTAGATAATTCCCTGCCCCTCCTCCCCCAGCATGTGTAAAGAGACTTGTATGTTTGTTTGTGACTGTGTGTATTTCTTGTGTTGGCATGCTGGTGAGGGACTGGAGGTGTGAGGGACGGTGGGGGGTGTGTGTGTGTGCACACTTTGTGTCTGGATGCGGGTGCTGCCACCCACCTTTGTGTCTGGTCCTGGAATAGCGCCGTGGGGCAAGCGTGGCTGGAAGATGTTCCACACCTTACTGCGAGGGATGGTTCTCTACTTCCTGAAGGTAGGAAGGGAGCCAACACCCTGATGGGCTGACTGGGGTAGGGGCCTGGAACTGTCGGGAGGGAGAGGAGGCAGCTGATGGTAACCTCGTCTCTGAGCCTGTGTCCCCGTGCCCGGTGGCAGGGAGAGGACCACTGCCCAGAGGGAGAGAGTTTGGTGGGGCAGATGGTGGATGAGCCCGTGGGGGTACACCACTCCCTGGCCACCCCGGCCACCCATTACACCAAGAAGCCACACGTCTTCCAGCTGCGGACTGCCGACTGGCGCCTCTACCTCTTCCAGGCACCGTAAGTCCTTGGGGTAGGAGACAAGTGGCAAGGCCTGAACCTCCTAGTTTTCCTCTCCCCTGACCTGGCTGACACCTGCTGGCCCCCGCCCTGGTGGGAAACCTTAGAATGCTGCATGGAAGAGGTGCTAGGGACCCGAGGGTCACAGAGAGTAAGAGGGGCTGGGAGAAGGGGTTCCTGCCCAGCCCCTCCCCTGGCCCACCTAGTCAAGGCATCAGCCTTTTCCTTGTGAGTCTCCATCAAGCCTCCCAGTTCTGAACAGAGAATTCCGGGAAGTCACTAACAATTGCTCATTTTTGGCAATTGATATAAAATCTATTTTCTTCCCAGATTTTCCTCTTTGACAAATAAGAGAAACCACGGGCAGAGGTCAGCCACCCTACTAGTGGCAGGGCTTCTGGCTTTTGGAGGCAAGAGTCGTGAGCGGCCGCACTGCTGTGCAGACCACAGGAGGGGGTGAGGGGTAGGTGACAGGGCCCGTGTCCTTGGGGACCGACACCTCCTCTGCCTACAGCACTGCCAAGGAGATGAGTTCGTGGATCGCGCGCATCAACCTGGCGGCCGCCACGCACTCGGCGCCGCCCTTCCCCGCCGCC